TTAAATAAAATGATATATTTTAAGATTACGACTCTAATTTTGTTAAGAGTCAAAATTGATATGTGTTTTTCTTATGTTATATTTTATTATAAAATAATAATTATTAAATAGAGAGTTCTCTCTTAATATTAGATATCTTCTCAATTTAATAATTAATATTTTATAATTGGATATAGTTAAATGAGGTTGTAGAAAATCAAGATTTCCTAGCAATCTTGACAACATTAGGACCATCCATAATGTGACTCTCATACTAGGGTTCACGTGGAAACCACATGATGAATGGCCCTAATGTTACCAGAATTGCCAAGAAGTCCTAAAAATCACTTTTTCGATAGTTAAATTTATAAAACACTTATTTTATTTTATTATAACCTAAATAAAATTGAATAATTTGAACTTATTGCATCTACATAATTTTTTTATTTACAATTAATGTATTTTTAGGTTCATTTTCACTTATTTTAAGACTACTTTCTTTTTAACAATCTTAAAAATATAACCCCATATCTATCTAATAAATTTAAGAAAATTAACTACTAGCCCGATAGGCCAAAAATTTGAAAATTTTCACATGCCCACAATGCTATTCTTAAGGTTGTATTTATAGCAGAATAATTGTTCCCATGACCTGCATCTATAGTTCATGTTACCCCTTATCGCTTTATAAAAGCCAGCCAATGGGTTTATTGAGACATAATGGTTAATAGTAGTATATATAAAAAAACATTAATAATTTGTTTGTTTGAGGAAAAAAATTTTGATTTTTTAAAATAAAAATTTAAATTTAAGTCTTATAAATAGAGAAATAAATATTAAAAAAGTTTCTTCTCTTATAAGATTTATCACAACTCAATTATAAATTAATTAAAATTTAATATAATTTTTAAATATTGAGAGTTTAATAAAAAAATGTATATATGAAAAATGAGAAATTAAAAAAAGCAATGGGGGCAAGTGGACATTAGAGTCTTAAACTTGTAGATATGACAAACACTAAAATCGCATGTGAAGAAGCTGCTCATCGAACGGTCCGTTCCGGTCTTGTAGCATTGAATCATCGATTAAAATTGTTCATTTTCAGTGGGTTACACGTTCGAATCTTAAGGAATCTCTTTTTTTCCTCTTCTAATTAACCCTGTAAATAATTACAAATTGTTAAAAAA